TCAAACTTTTAATATAAATAATTTGTATAGAACTATAATCAATTTATTAATATATCAAATTAATCTAATATATTTTTTTTAATTTATTCTAATAATCTAGTTGATGATATCTTTATTCAAAAGTTTTTACTTATTCAAGTATTTTAATATTGATGTCCATTTTTAGTAGTTTAGTTTTTACAATATTATTGTTAAAGATTTGTATTACTTATTTATTCAAATTTTTTTAAATAAACTTCTTGTTTTTTAATTTTAACAGATTTATATAATTACAAATACTTATTTAAAGGTTGTACTATCTAATACTGGTTTGCATTCTTCTATATAACTAGTTACACAATATCCTATAACTTGTTAGTTATATTAGTATAATTATTATTATAAGTATCTTAATCTAATTGTTAGAAACAGTTGATATAATATAAATATTACATAAGTAATTATTTAAATATTTATTATTGATGAAATTTGAACACTTAACTTATTACTTAAAGAATTAATAACTTATTTATTTTACTAAGTCACTATATTTCTTTTTTTATCTTTTTATTATTATATTATTTCTAAATTAGTTTTATTTAAATATATTTAATTCTTATAATCTTTTATTTTTAATATACAAATTGGTGTTTTGTTTAAGATTTTCTAATAATAATTTAAGATTTATAATAAATTTATATTTTAAGTCAAACCTACTACTGCTATTAGTCTTTTGACCAATCTGTATCTTAAATCAAGTTTGTTGTTATTATTCTTACAGATAACTTAGGTTTTAATATTATACAATAACTTAGTACTATATTTACTTTTAACAAGATGTTTTCTTTTATAATAAAGACTAAGACTTGTTATTAGAATTTTATAATTTGATTTAATTTAATTTAATCAAATATTTGATTTTAAATCAAATTTAAAACTAAAATTTTTAAATCAAATCAAATTCGAATATGATCAAATTTGATTTAATTTAATAAATATTTGATTTAATCAAAATTTTATTAAGATAATTGACTTTTTTGTTCTATTAAACTAAAAATATTTTGTTTAAAACACTTTTATTTAAGAACTTAAAATCAATTAATATAATAAATTTTTTTGTAAATTAAGTTTTATATTTTAATTTAAAATATTAACTAAGTTAAATATATTATGAAAAGGATGGCAATTTTAGTATAATGATTGGGTTGTCATCTTTTAAGTAGTAGATCTAAGATTCAAATCTCATTTATAATAAAATTTGAAAATTAATTTGTATTACAGAAAACTGTCTCTTATCAATCAATTGAATTTAGATATTTATAATCTTGAATATAACCAATTAGGTTCTACTTATCATTGAAAGCCTAAGACATCTATATAAAATGTAATATTATATTATATAGAAGAATGTTAATAACTAGTGTCATATAAGACTTTAATGCAAACCTATGATAAGATTACTGAATATAGAAGATCAAGAAACCAAAGAGACAGAAACTTATTTAGAAATACCTAAATAAAAAGGTAATACAAATCTTTAATAGTACTATCAAACTAATAAAAGTCTAGAAAACCCTAATAATAAATAGGCAGATGTAACCAGATGGAAAGGTGTATAAAGGAGCATATGACCAATTAGGTTTCCAGAATTGTTAAAGAAAAAGGATACTAAGATATACTATATCAGACTATCTGAATTGGAAGTCTAAAGAATCTGTTAGATTCTAGGTTGGATAATAGAAAGATAAAGAAAAGAAGTTGAAAAGATAGATACTAGGATTTGGGTGAACTTTATAAGAGTAGAAATAATGTAATATAGTGATTAAACAGATAATCTCTGTGACTACAAGTGTTAGATAACTATAACATATTATATAAAACTAGATCAACTATGTGTGAAATATGGAAGGTTCTAGTAATAATGTTTCTGAAGATACACTGTATAAAATAAAATATAAGGTTCTAAAAGTATAAGTAAAAATATCTAGATCTTCTTGACTGATGTCTGTATTGAAGATAATCTAATGACATAGTAGAGATTGCAATATAGAGAGTTTAAATAAGCAATGTCACTAGTTGAGTTACAAGTATGACAGTTAGTGTAGAACCATTGATGAACTACTTAAATTAAACACCAAAAATGTATGTGTGACTAGTTGTATTCTCTAATGTAAAATGACTTCTTTGAAGCTTTGACTACAAGTCTTTATGTCCTAATTTACTAAATAAACCCTAGTCCCAAAAGAGGTTAGTTTAATCTCCAAAAAAAAATATATTATGAAGCATATGATTTCTATTACTATACCTTTTTATTTGATAATGTATTATCATTATTGTCAAAACATGTAACTGGAATTCATAGTAGTGCCAAAATGTAACACAATTAGTGAAAAAAATTGCAATTATTTCATCATTAATTGGATTTCAATTAATTTCATGTTGATTTTAATTGATTTTAATTGATTTTAATTAAATGACGTATGATAAAAATTAATTTTAATTGATTTTTCGATAGGCTTGCGTATACGTACCTATTACATATTAACCTCTATAGTTTTATCTTACTGCCTAGTAATTTATCTAGCATAACAACTCAGTATGTTATTAACAGTGTTGTCACTGGGAAGAACACTGGAAGTAAATCAATAATACCACTGGAACTTAAAGTTCCAGTGACGCTATTAATTTACTTCCGGTGGCCTTCCGGTAATCTTCCAACGATACTGGTTATTAATTTTTAGCTCAATATTTGTAAATTGTCACTTTATGTGATATCGGTTAGTAGTACAGACTTTAAATCTTTTACTTTATTCGATTGTTTGAATTTTTTAATTTAATGTAAGTTACATGCTTTCATTTTAAATTTGCAATTACTTTTATAACAATAAAAAAAAATTAAATAAAAAAAGCTTTTTCAATCTGTTAAGAAAAACTATGCGCGCGCCGGGAATTGAACCCGGGTCTACCGCGTGGCAGGCGGTAATTATACCACTAAACCACACGCGCCTTTTATTAGAAATTTGGTCAAACTTTTAAAATTTGAACATGTTTTATTTCTTATTTTGGCATGAACCTATTTAAACATGAATGGCATTGTGCGTCGTAAAAAAAATATATTATGTAACCCGGAATTTTTATTCGGTTCCAAACGGAAGGTACGTTCAAACTTTTGACTTTTTAGTCTTTATAGTATAATTTCTATAAATACTTTTATTCCGTAACTATCTCGATACGTATGAAATATTTATAAAATATATATATAGTTATAAATATGTATATATATTATGTATTTATTTAGGAACTAAACATACACAATATACTGTATATATATACTATAAATACTATCGCTACGTATAATGATGGGTACAATCTAAATTGGTCAATAAAGGATTAAATTTAATCAAATTATTAGTATAATTATATGATACGTATATATACTTTAAGTAAAAATAGAACAAATGTTTATGTAATGCCGGAGATAGAGCAAACACTTTAATTCATTTAACGCCAGAATATTTCCGTTTACGCCGGAGCTAGAGAAACGATTTTGCTCATCAAATTGTTCAATAATTGATGTGATAAAATTTAGAACTTGATGTAAGTTTAACACTCAATTCGAAAATTCGAAGCTAATAGCAAATACAACCTTTCACATTTTATTTTAATTTTTTTCTGATGTGGATCCCTTTTTGATTTCTCTTGAATCTTCCAACTTGCCCGTATAATATCGGATTACAAGACCAAAATAAATTAAAAAGTTGAAAGTATACTTTAAGCACCAAAAACTTTTTTTCGAAATCGTTCTGACGTCAGAATGATGTACGACAATCGATGCTATTTAAGGGAACTATACGATTCATTGAGAAGTTCAGTAAGTACGTACGGTACGGACAAATGTATCAAACAATGCATTTACATTGTATTAATTACGACACTGTAAGGGAATATTATTGTTAATCCTCAACATATTACAATGAACAAAGAACAGCATGGAATTTAGGCGTTTAGAATTCTGGAAAATGGACCAAACTTTAAGGTTAGAGTAATGATATTTTTTCCTATCTATCCGGGATAATCAAAACGACATATATAAATATAATTATTCTGGCAAAAATTTAAATCACATTCTAGCCTTATTTGAGTAGCTTACCGAACAGTTCTGGAATTTGATCCCATACTTTGGTTAAAAAGCCCAAAAGTCGTAGTCTTGATTTGTTGACATAAATTTTATTTGTATCGATATGGGAACTTTAAATAATAAATGACTCTATTATGTTGATCAGGAGTCTTTAATTAATTAAAAAATATACTAGTATATAGAAAACATTTATTTTACCAAATCATTTATAAAATCACATCGATTAAACTGTAAGCCAAAAAAAAACTTTTTTGAAAACTATAAAAAAAATTTCTAAAATTAGAGTGGTTTAAAAAAAAAGTAGTACGTAACGGTAAAATGAATTAAAAATTTGTGTAATTATTTGTCAAATTTGGTCATTAATAAAAGAAGAATTCCGTGATCTAAACTTATCCAAATTTGTGTAAATTAAACCCATTACAGTATTTTGATGTTATAATATTGCATAATAGAATGTTCTAAGAATATATTTATTATGTTGTGTGTTTTTTGTTCTCGACTTATCCTTTTTAGATCCGCTTTTTGACGTAAACGAACCATAACTTTCGGGGGTTGAATAAGAACCATAAAGGTTTCAATTAGGTAAGACTAAGGCCAATTTGATATAAGCGATCATCGCTAACAAATTGAATCTTGTAATTTTATCTTAACTGCTTTCACATATGCCTGGACAGAATGAACACCTAGTAATTGGTACCATTTACAATGTAACGCAATCTTTCGATCAATTATTCCGACGCAGTATGAAACAAAAAATATAAATAAAGCAAGAAGTCACTATATTTATGTAGACAATTTCAAACATTACAGGATCTTATAATCATCATCCATTTTAGTTATTATTCGTTATAATTCTTAACAACCTGATAAACCATTTGCAAATATGTTGAATTCAACTTCTGAAGTTAATGCTAACTCTACACAAGTGCCATCGGTTACAATATCACCAGATATTAATAATAATCCCATTAAAAACCGTGGCAACTATGTAAAAGCGGCTTGTCGACCTTGCGCACTAGCAAAAGTTAAATGCTCGGGTAATATGCCCTGTGATAGATGCTCTAAGCAAGAAAAAGAATGTTTATATGAACCTCAAAGAAAGCGTGGACCTAAAATTCGTCGTTCACGTTCTACTAGTTGCGACAATCGACATAGACAACAGGACGATCTACAACCATCGTCTCTTCGTCGTACACGTTCCAATTGTGATCGAAGACGGTCCATCAGCCCTTCCGAAGTAATTAGGTCAGAAAACGATAATGCACTTGGCATTTCCTTTTCAAATATTTTACAATGCTTGACGGAAAATAATTTGCAACCTGATTATTATATTGCAAATGAATTGAATTACTTGAATCCTGCCTTGTTAAGCCCTGGTGGAGTATTTAGTCATCAAATTGTAGTTACACCACCTCAACCTGGAATAATGCAAAATAATTATCAACCTAACTTTCCTCATTCACCTCAAAGTGGTGAGTGGCAATATTATCCTGAGTTTAGTAGATGGTAAGCATAATACTTTCAGGTCAACAAACTGGAAACTGGACTTGCTGTTACTCGAAAAACAGTACTACGTACATACACACACAATAAAGAGTTTTTTAAATACGTACCTCCTGCTAACAAAGGACATTCAAACCGGATATTCTCATTGACAAACAATTATAATTAATGAACATTGTTTAATATTCCACTTTTATTTTTTTTATCATTCATGCATAGACATACACTATATTAGAATTATAAATTAAATCTATTTTTTTTTTCTTTCATTATTAATAACGGTGTTTAATTTTGAGAGCATTGAAACGTCTTCATAAAGATTTATTTGAATATTTATATATTTAATTAAATTGAGCTTAATTCATTGGCTACGTTTTAAACTTGACTAAATTTAGTTAAATTAACAGTGGCATTAGTGTTAGTCAACTATTCACTGATTGGTAAACCCTATGACAGTAGTATAGTGTTTATTTAATTAACGTTAATGTACGTATTCTTTTTGCTACTGCACTACGTATACGTAGAATAAATCGAATATTTTTATGGAATCTCTGTTACGTACAAAGCACCATTAAAGGCATGGGCACAAAGTACCAGACACTAGTAAAGACATGGCCAGGCACAAATACCAAATTTCTTTGCCTGTGCCCATGCCAAGTTTTTATGCCCGTGCCCCCATTGATATTAGAATGTGACATCGGTAATATAATATATGACTTATCTTGTAATAATTACAACTAGGAGTCTGCAACCCAGGCTCATGCCTGTACCAAACGAAAGGTCTAGGCATAGGTATGGGCATGAAAACTCAGGCACAGACATGGGTACAGGTATAAAATTTTGGCATAGGCATGGACACAAAAATTTAGCACAGGCACAGACATGGGTATCAGTACGGATATAAAATATTCGGCATAGGGCATGAGCATACGTAGGCACAAAAAAATTTATATGCATGAGTATATGAATATGAATATAAAAATTTTGATAAATACTATATAGTTATCGTGCAAGCTCATATGATCATAGATTTTTTTTCTTGTAAATTAAAACTGAGCCAACCACGACTCGTAAATCATGATCATAATTGCACGAAACATCAAATATCATAAAATTTGATCTGTTAGGGCAAACGATTGGCTGAAACGTACCGCTACGCAGCACATGTCAGCCAATCATTTACTCCAACAAAGAAATTTCATGATATTAATCCTTGCATGACCAATATCTTATAATTACTATATCAATAAATATTACATATAGTTAATGTTAAAAATAACCAATGTTGAACTTTAGAAACTCGATGTTAAGATATATAAACCTTGCTAAAATTCATTTAAATTTTAATTTAACTAAAAAACATTTAATATTAAAATAACTTTAATTTTAATATTAGTTATAACAATAAATTATCTCTATGCTTATATATTTAATTATTATAAATAAATTAAGGTAATTCTTTAGTTAATAATTTTTTTTTTTTTCCTATAAGCAGTCACATTAGTACTTTATTGAGTTTTTGAAATTATATTTGTAACTATATACATATTTCTAATATCTAAGTTTAGCATTACCCAGTTATCTTAATAGTATCTAAGTGTAACCTGCTGCATTATTTCGAACAGAAGTAAGTTACTTGTCTGACTACTTAAAATCCATAATGAAAGGATCTTCTTCTTTCTATAACAAGTCTCAAAATTGTTTTCATTATTTTTTTCTCAACTTGTTTTTTTTTTTCTCTTTTTCTTTTCTATTTTTTTTTAATCTGTCTTTTTCTGTTTTCTTGGTTTCTTTAAACTTCTATTTTTTTTTCTTTTACTTCTTTTTGTTATTTTAATTTTTTACTCTTATTCAATAATTTTCTTATAATGTATTTTTCATACTTGTTCATAAAATATGTTTCAGGCTGTTATTGTTACTATGTTTGCAAACTGATATTTTGATCTTGTATTTAATAGTTCTACTAGTTTATTATGTATTTCTTTTGAAATTAGGCTTTTCATTAGTACTTCTCTTATTTTAATTTTCTTTGTCTCTATTTTCCCAAAGAGCATTATATATAAAATATATAAGAGAATCTAAATCTTTTCTTCATTTTTTAATTTTTTTATACTATTGTAATGGTCACTTTTTGGATTCTCTTCTAGAAATTTCTTTGTCTCTTATATATTGCCAAGTATGCTTGCATTTTTTTTACTTTATCTTGGTATACTTGGTATTCTACTATTATATATATATCTAGCCTTCTTCTGTTAAATTCTTCTAAAATTGAAAGTTTATCTATTATACACTTGATAAATACACTTCTTCTGATACTGCATCTTCTTGTTATACAATATATTTTCTTAGTTGTCTTAAATCTTTTTCAAAAATAAGTTCAATCATAAATTATAATTTTTGTTTTTGGCTCTAAATCTTTAACTGCTTTTATTTCTTTTCATTCTGCTCTTAGTTTTACATTCATTACTAACTTACAAACAGTCTTAATAATATATCAGTTCATCTGTTTTTCCATTCTAAACAATACTTTATCTCTTTACAACTGACTTTTTTAGTCTATACTATTTTTTTATTCATTGTTTTCTTTTTTGCTAAACTATTTGTTTTATTGTTCTATTTGTCTTTATTATAACTTTTAACTTTAACTAAATCTATCTAAATGTTTTTAGTCTTAATAAGGTCTTTAATCTTCATTAACTATATTGCATTCTTTTTTTTAATAATCTTGTTTCTATCTGCTTGTTCTAGGCTTCTATCAATGTTTCTTATTATACAGTAGTATTACTATCTGTATATAACTCTACTTGCTTCTTCTTAGATATTGTTAGAATCACTACCCAAATTGATACTAATTCTGCTGTCATCGATATTTATCATTCTTCTAGTTCAAATGCTAACTCTTATTTTGGCCATTCTTGTATTTCATTTGTTTGGCCCTATTCAATACCTATATTGTTCTTAGACAATGGTTCTTTACTATCTTTTCTATTAGCTACACCATTAGTGTATATTATATATTTATTCTTGTTTTTCATAATGTTTTTTTTTTGAATTTTTGTTATTTCTTGACTAATATTTTCTTCTAGTTTTTGTTATTTAATAATTTCTATCTCTAGTTCTTCTATCATTGTAAAACCTTTTAATTTACTTTCTCTTATTTTTGATCTATTTATTTCTAACTTGTCTATTATTTGGTTTATTACTATCTTAATTTGATTGCTACTCTTACTTATTAATTTATCTGGAATTATATAAATATTTTTATTTAATCTTATCCATTGCTGGCAACTGTTTTCTATTTGTTCTTCTTTACTTATACACCCTTCATATCTGTTGATTTTAGTTGCTACTTCATTCTCTTTACATTTCATTTACTAGTATTTGATTAATACTTTTTTTTTTTTTTTTAACTACCTTTTCAAGCTGTCTGTAGTCTTGTATGCCATATACTATCTACTCTTTTCTTTTTTTATCTTTTGATATATGCTTCTATTTAACTTGCATTGTCTAAGTATTTTGTTTATTCATTCTGAAGTATTTTTGTACTACTCTACTTTCTGGGCTGCTAAGCATTTTTAATTTAATTGCTTTGAACTATTCTGCTTTTTTTTTTTTTACTTAATTGGCCTTGATAGCCTTTTAGTTGCTGCTATGTAATTAGTTTTTCTCTTTTTGTGTCGAGTAGTTGGTTTAGATATATTAGACCAGCTTCATTTACTCTAACTGCCCTTTTTTTCTATAATTGTGTATCTATTAGTTCTTATATATTAGTACTATAACCAAATATTGTTCATAGTTTGCTTTATGTTTTAATGTTTATTTTTAGTTTCTTTGCTTTAAGTATTGTAAGGCATGCTAAGTTGTTTTTTAAATATATTTCAATTTCTGTTTGCTTTTTTGTCTTCTATATATCTTTCATTAAAACTGCTCTTTAATAGCCTTGTGTTATTCTTAGTCTTATTAGCTATCTAAGACTGTTTTGTTTGTTTAATCTTACCAAAAGGCTACTCATTTGCTTCATAATTAACTCTTGTTGCAATGTTCTATAGCTGCTAAGATCTTTGTATTCCATTATATAGTTTTCTACTGTTCTTTGCAGACTGCTCTTTTGTTTTGCCAAACTTATTATTAGTTGATGTATTTTATTTAAGCTTCTGTTTGACAACTTTGTTAGCTACAATATATAGCTTAGTTTGGGTATTATTACTATATTGTTTATATATGCAATCTAACTTATTATTATTTTTTTGTACTTTAGATCTCTTATAGTTTGGCTTACTATTCCTTTGTCTTCTTTTTTACTTTTATCTCTTACATTTTGTTGTTTAACCATATTTTCAATAAATGAACTATTTTATATCTTGGTTCTTCTATTATCTGGCTTTTTCTATATATTACTGCTCTTTCTTCTTTTCAGATTTTTATGTTCATTATTATTAATTTTGACTTTGATCTATTTATTTTTATATTATTCATTTCAAAAAATTTTTCTGCTATTTCTAAAATTTCTAACAATTGCTCTTTATTGTTTGCAATCCATGTTGTATTATCTGCATATGCAATTGCAACTTAACAATATCTTGTAATATTGTTGTATTGCATATCTTTTTGCAACTGTTGCTTAATTGTATATTCTAAATTTTCTTCTTCTTAGATTCTCTTTAACAATGGATCATAGAAGAGATGTCATATTAATGGTGAAATTACTTCATCTTGGTTTATTCCATCTTCTGTCATTAGTTTATCTGTTAGACCATAGGCTGTAATTATCTTTAATTGTCTCTTGTAGAAAAGATTCAGTATATATTTAATTGTTTTCTTGGGTATTTTAACTCTTTGTAATACTAATTCAAGGCTTTTGAGAGGGACTGAGTCAAATACCTTTTTTATATCCTGCAGCAGTATTCATATTTCTTTATCTTTTTTTTTTGTTTCTTCTATCATTATGTTTAAAATCTGTACTAGTTGTTCTGTTGAGTTTTCTGGAAGGCCTGCAAAATTTGGTCC